CTGTCCAAACACACTATTCGAACATAAAAGAATTTATAAGAAATATTCAACGTTAATGCTTATACTACGAGAAAAGGTACTCTTTTCAATACACTAGGGACAATCAAAATGCATTTTCAAAAAGAGATGAGAAGCTACCGAAATATCTGTCTCAAGAATTTGGATTAGCGCTTATAAGTAATATTTCCTGTTACATTTTGCTCATACTTCATTTGAAGCGGCATCTGTTGTTTTCTATCACCGTTGGGTGTAGTAATCCTTTGATGTAACTGAACTTCAGAAATTTCTTAATTTGTATATCGAATGAAAATTATAAGTAGGCGAACTAAACTATTTGATACTTAAATCGAATTTGGTTCGATGAGAACTCATTTGAATTTGATTTGCTAACTAATCAAATGAATCTTGAACAACAATTTGTACTTGTTAGACTTTCAAGTATGGTTCAAGATTGGCTCGATTAGCACATAAGTGAAATTTATATATAAAAAGTTCAAGTTACTCGAGTTTGGCTCGATAAAAGTTTGTTCGAATTCGACTCGAGAAGTAACCGAGTCAAATTTGAACAAATTTTAAACTCGCCAAAATAATCAAACAAATTTAAATGCTAAAGTGTTTGATTTGTTTAAATTCGTCTACGCCTATAATTATCATCTCCATTTGGATATACTTATATTTTCACAATTTTCTTTAGTACTGACTATTATCTGAACGTATATTCTATTAATTATTTGACATATATATCATATTCTAAAAAGTGTTGCAAAAATTATTACTTTTGACTTCAAGAATACCTTGTAAATGAATGGTTCCTTGCAAATTGTTGAAAAGAAGTTACATGGGAAAACAACCAAGGGTGGTGCTCGTACTTCGAAATTGATACAAATGCTCAAGGCCGAAACTATTGCAGATGATCTTTGAATGATTGTTTTGAGCATCAATTAGTCCACAAGGCTAATTTGAATGAAGAAGCAATCATCCTTCATCAAGTGCCACTTCATCAAACTAATAGGTAAATATGATTGAGAAAATCTTTGTAATCAATCAAAAATGCTCGTCATAATTTAGTTATGAAATTTGGTATTTCGTTCCAAAAAGTTAATTAATGTACTAATTCTTCATTCTATTCAATAAAATATCTTTGTTAAAAAGATATTACTGCATTCGGATACCTATTATTACATTCCAACTGTAGTCATAAATTAACTAAGGTATGTTTTCAACTTTTAATTACTTCTTTGCATCTGAAAATTGCTAACCTACAGCAAATGAAATGACTTGACATCCTTGTTATCCCCTCATATTTATAAGCAATATTTATTATCTACGCACATAGGGAATGTATTGGAATTAGGGGTGGGCACGGGTCGGGTACCCGCCCCTAACATGATTTGGCTGACCCGACCCTAATATATCGGATCAGCCATTTTGCGACCCTAACCCGCTCCTAATATTTTCGGGTACCCGAATAGCGGGTACCCGAAAAAAAGGGGCGGGTCATAGGGTACCCGCCCCTAAAAAAAACTATTTTTCAATAAAAAAAATTTATTTTCTACTTAATATCAACATGTTTTTCAATAAAAAAAACATGTTTTTCCAATTAATATTGGTAGAGATATTGTAATTAAAGTCCATACATCACCATTCTCACACATTTCATCCAATAATCAAATCGATCTCATAAATTTAGTACATATTAGAATATCTAATAGACAAAACGAAGTTTCATAATAATTTTGAGTACATCACCATTTTCACACATTTCATACTTTTACAACACAACAAACACAAGGATAATAAGTATTTGGTAACTTCCCCAAGGATAATATGGTACAAGATCGCGTCTCAAATAAGTCAATTGTGAAATCAAGTTCGGAAAAGAATTGAATAGAACTAATTATTTTTGAAAAAAATATAACCAAAATAATGTTAAAAATCTTCCCCAACTTCTTTACATCTTTGGAATAGACCTTATGGTATTAAGGTGATGAAAAAGAAAAATAAATTTCTTACACTAAATAAAAGAGACAAATTAAAGAGATATAATTGCAAATGAATGACACAAATATTTTAATTATCTAGCTAACAGAAAATTGAAACTCCAAACAAAAATCTTTGATTGAATTGATGCAAGATTTGCAGGAAAGATCGATGGAGGTAGAATAAAAATAAAAAAGATGAAAGGGATGAACAATTTTTATAACAGAGTTTCACAAATTTTTTTTTTCATTTTGTTCATGTTTCACCGAGAATATTCGCTTTCTTCAAAAAAAAATGAGAAGAGTAGATCAAATAGGATTAGAATATGAGGCTGCGAGCCACTTCACTTGCGCTTAGAAATAAAAATTACAAAATTATAAAATGATCCCTACTTTTTTAATATTTATAAAATATACCCTGCGGGTCGGGTACCCGCGGGTTTTTATTTTTCTGATCCGTATCCGTACCCGATTTTTCGGGTACCCGACCCTCATCTGCCCCGCTAAGAAAAATCGGATCGGGTATCCTATTTTTCGGATCGGGTTCATCGGGTTTTCGGATCGGCGGGTTTTTTTGCCCACCCCTAATTGGAATGAACAAATAAGTGCTGTCAAAAACAAGCTACATGCATAAATATGATCAATATCGTCTAGATTGCAAATTTTTCAAAGTTTTTGTAAAAAAATAGCGCTGTTTTTTTTAAAAAATATATATATATGATATACGTGATATATAAAGGTAATTAGGTTAATATTTTCAAAGAATATTCTCGCAAAACTCCAAAAACAATTTCTCCAAAAATTGCAATCCAAACAATAGTTTGCTAAGTATCATATCTGCTTGGAGGGTAAAATCAATACTGCTTCACAAAGAAATGACTTAATGAATGTTTAGTTAATTAATGGATATTTTCATATTTCCGGATTATTGTCTCCTTTAATTATTGTCACCGGGTTATAGGTTTTTCAGTTTTTTTTTTTTTTGGCGTTTTTGGCTTGCTTTTTCATCCAGAGTAGCCAAAAAACTAAAATCCAAAATCCACGAAATATCACTTTTCTTAGTCAGTTTTTGCAGAATCTACAAGAACAAGCCAATAATAGGAAATATATAATTCTTTTGAAAACTATTTCAAATAATACAAGAAACTATTTAGATTTATATACGATTTCAGAAGGAAGTCATGTACTTTTGGCTTCTTTAAAACATGATAGTGATTGCTCATCGGTCCAGAGTAGGCCCTGAAAGGCAACTAGACAATGAAGCTTCAATTATTTGTGGCCTTACCAATGCAAATTCAGACGGTACGACAGCGTTCTGCTTCACTTTTAGACGTACTATGCCGACGGTGCTGATACTCTCTATTGCCCAGTCTACAGGACCTATTCTGGTCCATACATTACGACCTATTTGGACTTCCAAGCTTCAACTCCCACTCTCCATCCTTTCCCAGAATACGGTTTCCGCGTTTCCACACAACACACGTGGATTTCTAAATTCTAATTGGTCCCCTTCCTGCGTCACTACTTTGGGCCCTCATCCCAGTATTCAAATAAATTAAATGCTAACAACTTATATATACTAGTTATTAGGTCATACTCGATGCACGTGCAATCTGTTCAAAAATAAAATATTAGTTGCTCGAATCAGATAAATAGATTGATGAAAAGAAAATGAAAGACAAAGAAATATCATGTTAAAAGGAAAAGGAAAAGGAAAATGAAAGACAAAAGAATTATTGATTTTTTTTTTCAAAACGGCAACATCAGATTAATCACAAAAACTAATACAAGGTTAGAGCCTTCGCTCCTCCAAATCTGCTTGAGCTAGCTCCAACAGCCATGTTGGGAAGTCACACTTCCATTCAGCTACTTCTATCAAGTCTATAGCATACTTTGCTATGTGGTGACTAACAGAGTTGTTAGACCTCCTAGTAAAGGAAAAACAACATTTATAAAATTCAGTTTTTAACCGCCATATGTCTACCAATATAGTAGCTATGCTAATCTCCTCCTCCTGTGCATTGATTTTGTCGACTACCATCTTACAATCTGATTCGAATTCCACCATCCTCCACCCTTTACGTTTAGCTACCACCATTGCCTCCCTAATCGCCAAAGCTTCCTCAACTTGTGCTTCTGCACATTTTGTAGTTGGACATGCCCAGGCTCCTACCAGCATCCCATTCCTATCCCTTGCCACAATGCCCCATCCAGCTTTGCAGGTCTTCTTGTGTAGAGCTGCATCAGTATTGATTTTGATCCAGTAGCCTTGTGGCCTCTCCCAACCCCTCTTTACCTCAGTCTTTCCAAGTGTCTGTCCCACCTCCCCAGTCCTTTCTTCCTGAGCCAATTGGTACTCATTCCACTCCATCACTACCTTGTTAACAACTGCCATTGGATCTCTACTATTATTGTTGAAAAGCTTGTCATTCCTAGCCTTCCAGATTTGCCACAAAATATGCACAGTGAGAACAATGTGGTCTCTTCCACCCTCCCTACCCATAGCCCCTCTAAGTTCTTCCCACCAATGCCAGAAATTGTTGGTAAAAACCTCCAATCCATCCTAGCTCAGTGGAGCAGCTTTCCATATTGCTTTAGCTAAGCTACATGTAAAAAGCATATGTTCTAGTGTCTTAGCTTGCTCACCACAGCAGCTGCAAATAGGATCACCTTTATCACATTTCCCCTACAGCATTTGTTGGTAAGATTCCCTGTAGACACTTCCAGATGAAGTGTTTGAGCTTGTTCTTCATGTTCAGCTTCCAAAGGAAATTCCAGCACTAAGACTTATGTCTCCCATGACTACTCGATTCTAGCGCTTCTTTGCAGTAGCCATTCCCTTTCTTCATCTCTTTTGCTATGTGAATTCTGTCAGTTTCCTCAAATTCCTGCCCCAGCAACTCTTGATCCCATTTCCCATCTCTAATCAGCTCACAGACCCTTTGAATTTTACTACCTGGCTTCCTCGGGGATCTTATTCTCCCATCCTCAAAAGCAGGCAGCCATCTATCTTCCCAAACTTTAATTGTTGGCACCATCCCCTACCCTTATTCTCATCCCTTCTTCCAGTAAACCTTTAGCACTCAGTAGACTCTTCCAGCACCAAGAATCAGTCCCCCTCTGCTGTGCCTCCCAAATAGGCTTCCCAGGAAAATATTTTGCCTTTATTATTCTGCTCATTAGAAGATCTGGTCTCGTGTGAATCCTCCATAGCTGTTTTCCTAGTAGAGCCATATTAAAATCCTGCAGGTCCCTAAAGCCAAGTCCCCCCTCTGACTTGATATCAGTCATCCTACTCCACTTGATCCAATGAATCTTCCTTTCATCCTCCCTCTGACCCCACCAGAATCTAGCCATCTCTGAGCATATATTTCTGCATAGTTCCTTTGGCAATCTATAGCAGGACATTACATAAGTAGGGAGTGCTAGAACCACAGATTTAAGTAATACCTCCTTACCAGCTTGGCTCGGGAGCTTTTCCTTCCAACCTTTAAGTTTGTTAACAGTCTTCTGTCGAATGAAATCAAATACCTGCCTTTTTGATCTCTCTATGACCAGTGGAAGTCCTAAATACTTACTCTGGTACACCCAAAAGAATTATTGATTGATGAACGATCTTTCTCTAAGCAAAACGTACCAAAGAAATTTAGAACCGGTGACACAATGATGGTGTGGTAACGGGAGAAGTGCTTTGTTTAGTATTTGGCAAAAGATTTTTATGGAGTGAGAATTTGGAAGTTGTAAATATGAAGATTTTTAGAAGTTGTGTGATATTTAGCAGTTTAGTTTGACGTGTAACTAGGTGAAGAGGAGTTTATAATCGTGGAGAAGTAATTTTGGAGTTGTGGAATTTAAGGAATTGCAGTGTATCAATAGTTAAGGAGTTAAGTTTTAGTGTCATACATGTTTACTAGTTAATAGTTAATTTTAAGGGTAAAATTAGAATTACAAAAAATGACACTAAATTGTTTACACCAAATCAAATTCCTACTCTCGCTTTATTATATGCTAGTACTCAATGCACATCCAATATGTGTGCAATCAAAAAATACAAGAAGAAAAATAGTTTCTATTTTCAGAAAATAGATGGTGCTTCAAAGAGAAAAAAAAAGAATAAAGAAATACAAGAAGGAAAAAAATGTTGATATTTCCTATACTATCAGTGTAAAAAATAATTGACACTAGCACCTCAACCTTTATGATACATAATCTCTATTCAAATTTCAAATAGTATAAAAGATTTCTATTCAAAATTTAAAATTTTTCTGGTGTAAGAAAAATAGTATAAAATATTTAACAACTATAACAATAATAATACGGGCAAATTATCCGTTTGGCCCTTGAACTTTTAGTTTAGATAAAACTTAATCCTCTAACTATTAATAGTCAACTTTTAACCTTCCAACTTGTAAAATAGGGAACTCGTTGCCCTTTTTACTAATTTATCAAATTTTGCAATCGGAAAGTCAAATCACTTGAATGGCAATATGCTTTGTAGAAGAGTATTTTTGTCCACACAGAAACAAGTAATAATCGAACAAAGTACATTATCTTTCCTTTCCCTACCCCAACTAAACTAAGCTCTCAAACTAATCCTTTTTCCTTACCTCTCTTCATCTTCTCTTGAGAATCTTTGTTGACAAAGAAGAGGAAGAGATAATTTGCACCTCGGGCTCCATAATAGCTAGGTATCATTGACATTGAAACAACAATGGAATGGCAAATTAGGCAGCAAAATGAATGCTTCAATCCGGTCCTCCTCTATTTCTCTTACTGTTGCCTTCAACTTAGCAACTTTTGCCTCCAATCTTGATACTGCAACTTCAAATTCCTCTCTTTGCTTCTCTATTTCATTGATCCTCCTTAGAAGGTCGAGCATCAATTCAATAAAATGGCGGCACATTTTCTCATTGATCCAAACCCAATACCCACAGCCACCAACTTCTTGTGAGCAAATAGTGTACTTATTGGTTTTTTGGGGTATAAACTAAGAAACAACACCTTAGTGTTATAAAAAAAACTTATAAGAGACTTGTATTAAAGATAAAAAATGAGCTTGTGTTCTACATTCATCAACTCACTATTTATAGTGATTACATGAAACAAACTAGCAAAATATCCAACTAACAATTATCCTAAAAATCTCAACAAAATAATCTTCTTCTACTAGTAAATCTTAACTAAAATATTTGTTAAAAAAACCAACATGATCTTTGGTTAACAAATATTCTTATTTTTCTAATAACTAAATTATTTTGATATCAAACTTAATCTGATAAAATCTGTAGGAAAGATTGGCATATCTCAAAACTCCTCCTTGCCACTTTTGCTGCAGATTTTCAATTGTCTTCTCAAATTTTTTAACCTTGTTTTGGACAAGGTTTTTGTAAGAGGTTCTGCAACTAAAGATTAGCCTTGCAATGAATTTCTTCTTTTAGGTTTTTATGCAAGCTAAATATTAGTCTTGCAACAAATCATTTCTTTTGTCTTCTCATGTCATACTCCAAATAAAAGATGATTTTTTTTAATGTTTCAAAATAACCTTCTCATAGGTTTAAAGTGAAACATCCTTTGAGGATATTTGAACCTATACAGAAATATGAAATTTTGCATGGTTCTTCATTTTGTCATCATCATCAAAATCTATAGACTCAAAAACAGTAATATTATAATCTTGATAAATATCAGGAATCAATTTGATACCTCCTGATTTATCAATGATCTCCTTCTAAATTTTTTCAAGATCTGAATTCTTGATTTCATCATCATGTTCCACTTTAGAACTGTCAAAATCTGACCAATTCATAGTGAAACTTTTTCTTTTTATTTTAATTGAGAATAATTTATTCTCAATCAAATCATTAGCCATTATCCTTGGGAAAATGGCATCAAAAACTGAAATGTGAATGCTGGTCTTGGATCTCTGTCTAACTGCAACTCTGTGGTCTCTAATTTGTGTATCCATCAGCTCTTTAAATGCTGGTGAAACAAAATTCGTCTCCACCATATCCTGTAGATCATTCACTATCAAATAAGTCCAAAATTTTATGGCCCCAATTTGGTAAGTTTCACCACTAAAAGTTGAAACATTTGATAAAAAGTTCTTTCCTGTCATAGCTTTGAACTTATAAAGGATTCTTATCAATGCATCACTCTAAAAAAAAAGACTCAGGTCCTTAAGATATAGGCTCTTGATACCACTTTGTTGGTTTTTTGGGGCATAAACTAAGAAACAACACTTTAGTGTTGCAAAAAAAGCTTATAAGAGACTTATATTAAAGATCGAAAATGAGCTTGTGTTCTACATTAATCAACTCACTATTTATAGTGATTACATAAAACAAACTAACAAAATATCCAACTAACAATTATCCTAAAAATCTCAACAAAATATAATATTCTTCTACTAGCCTTTGGAACAACTTGATGAATTTAGTAGATCTTTTTAGGAGGCCCTAATGACTATAGATCGAACCTATCCATTTTTTACAGTACGATGGTTAATCTTAGCTAAAATATTTGTTAACAAACCAACATGATCTTTGGTTAACAAATATTCTTATTTTTCTAATAACTAAATTATTTTGATATCAAACTCAATCTGATAAAATCTGTAGGAAAAGTTGGCATTTCTCAACAGTACTTTCTCCTCGGGTTTCTATCAGTCTACGAAATAGTCATCTTTGTGACTTGACCGTTGAGACAAATAGGAAGGTGAGGGCTATGATATTTGCGTGTTCTTGCTTGCTCTTGACAAACATTTCTCTTCCTTCCCTCTGCAATTCGTGTGTTGAGATCTATTAGGGAGTTGGGTTGATTGGGGATACAATATACATCGTTGACTTTTTGCTTGTTTTTGTGCAGACAAAAAAACCCTTCTATAAAATATATTGCCGTTCGCGTGATTTGTCTTTTCAGTTGTAAAATCAGATAAACTAGCCAAAAGCACCACGGGTTCCTTATTTTACAAGTTAGAGGGCTAAAAGCTGATTATTAATAGTTGAAGGGTTAAGTTTTACCTAAACTAAAAGTTCAAGGGCCAAACGGAAATTTGCCCTAATTAATAATAATAATAATAATAAAGAGGAGCTTATGGACGATTGGTCCTATTATCATCAATGGATTGAGTTAAATAGAAAATTTTACTATAAACATCTGAGACGGAGAAGAACCGAACCGGTATACTCCAAGCCCAAAATCAGAAGATCAATGGCCCAAAATGAATTGCTAAATACCATTGTCTTCTTGCGTTATTGTAACCTTTTCTTAACTCGCTTAGCAAATAAATGCAATATCAGTAATCCCTTTAATTTGTTTCTTTTCATAAATGAAAATGTTCCACTTTCTTCTAAATAATAAAGATTTCAGGAAAAAAGATAACACCAAATTAAGACTTGCACATTTTCTGTTTTTCTTGCACGATAGTTAGGTAGGATACCGTAAATATATCATTTGATAGAAATACTAGACTCTGACCACATTATATGAAAGTGATAGTTATATTGTCGTTATTGACCAATGAATAAATCTTGTATACATTATTATGGTTAAATGAATATCACATATATAAAATATAGATTTGAAATTCAAATTGAACAGAAATGACATCCATCCAAGCAGGATAATATGTATACTGTCAGTGTATTTAAGATTAATCCTTGACAAATAACAACATCTTGAGTACAAAACTGTGTCAGCATTTGGAGCGAAAATAACACATTTCTTGATATGAATTTGGTGGAGTAGCCTCTAGCTTGGCTCTCAACCTTTTGTTCAAACAGTCCTTTCTTGAAATATATTACATTTTTTTTCTCGAAATATTACACTTGATAAATTGTTCCATAAGTTTAATCCAATGACAATACTGATTAATTTGCATGTGATTGTTGATATTGATAAAAGCTCTAACACATTTTTCCTTTTTATCCGTTTGAATTGTTATTTTCTAGAGTTTTTATAGAAAAATATAAATATATTCACCGAAAACATAAAAATATTTCAGAAAAAATGGCAATCTAAACTGTGCAACTTCAGAAGCCATCATCAAGGTGCAAAAAATTTCTTTAGCTTCTCAAAATCTCAAAAATTGAAGAAGACTTGATGGTGGAAGACTGGTAGTAAAACATGCCTAGTTTTCAAAACACTGATGACTTTGGATTGGTGGATACAACGTCTAAATTTTGTGGTCCAGTTTCTGTCAAGAAAAATAGTAGTACTAGTCCTATCAAGACAAGAAATAGAAAAAAAAAAAAAAACCAGTGGAAGCTTTACAGTGGATTTGGACTGAAACTCATGGTAGTGAGGCACCTTTAACTGTAACCCTATACAGTGAGGCTGAGGCTCACCCTGCGCAGTTGAGACCCCTTAAGTTTGTCATTACTTGCAAATTATGAAAAATGACAATTGAACTCGACCATATCATTACAGCTAAATGAATTGGTCACACATCCAACAACCCATCAATTGGCATTCTCAGCTCACTTTGATGTTTGGTTGCAAGCTTGCCTCCAATGAAAGATTATTGAAAACAGACAATGATGTTGTGTTGTGTTGTGTTATGTTAGGCCTTCTTTGCCATCTCAATCTAAACACAAATTGCAATTGATCCAAATGTCAAACGTTACCAATTATCTACAAACAACATGACAACAAAATTCCAAGTACTTGGATGCTGACAAGTAACAACAAGACATAACGGAGAAAAAAAGAAAAGTAACTAAAATTGTCGCTATTTTTTCTCAAATCAAAAAGAACTTTTCTTAGAATTTTATGACGGATCACATTTTTCATAAAAAAAAAAAAATTAGAATGAGCTTTGGAGGAGAAAGACCTTTATTTCAACTCAAAAAATCTGTATTAAACATAAGAATGAAATGGACAAATCGAAAGACTTTTTCATTCTAGGCGATTTCTATGTAACAAATGAAAGGGATACAGAACTTTGTACTAACGTGCTAACAATTAACAGCAGAAGCAGGAGCAGTAGCAAATTCTGTCACCGGAGATTCTTTGCTTAGCAATCACTTCTTCATTTACTGCCCCTCTTAGCTGGAAGATCCTGTAAATCTTTCCTCATCAAGGGAATTGATGTGACAAAACTCAGAGCTAAAAACAGGAAAGGAGATTGAAAAGACAAAAAAAGAGACGAAAAAGAAACGTGCAAGGGGAAAAAAAAAGGAAAAAGGAAAAATGCCACTCTTGAGCCCACAAGGGCCAGAACATTGATAGCAATTGTGCTAGTAAAATACTAGACCATCCATTTTCACAACAAAAGCAATAAACTTGCCTAGAATCAGCCTCATCAAACATTTAACAGAAGGGCCATCAAGAAATCTGTAGATTTTTTTATTGTTCACTTTCTTTAAAACGAGAAGTTATTAAGGGTAGAATACCTGAGTGTTTTTTCATATTTTCTTGTTTGCTCTGTTTCAGTCTCTCTCTCTCTCTCTCTCTCTCTCACATTCAGAGGAAGAAAAAGAAGAGTCTTTGTAAAGATATAAAACCACCCTGCATTTTAGGCGGATAAAGCGGTCTCCTCACAGATCCATATCCTACTTTGGCATTTGTTTCCTGCTCTTTTTAGCCGAACCCCTTATTTAGTTTTTTGTTTTTCCCAATGTATCATTCAGGGCCTAGCATTTCATGCTGCTTTCAATGAAAGTGATCCTCGTATCAGTGAGTTCGTACAAAATCCATGTGAAAAATAATCAGTTTCCATTGCTTGGTGTAATCAGAGGCTTTCTTCCATTTCCGTAAATTTTGTTATTGCCGATGTAGGCATTGATTAAATTTAGTAGCTTCTCTGGTTAAATTTTGTTCTTGACATGGTTTGTTGGCATATTTTGTCATCCGGGGTTGAATTTTTATCGTCTTTCTCCAGGACTATGAGCTTGTTGTCCTGAGTTGTTTCTGCAAAGGTGGTGGCTTTTCTTTTTTTGCCGCCTGTGTACTGGTTTTAATGTCTGTCACTCTGTGTTCTGTTTCTTATATTTTTTCACCTTCCTATCTGCAATTCTAATTTTCCCTTTTGGAATTAATCTGCAGATTTGCTAATGATTGGAAGCTCTGCATGTGACATGCATCATGATTCCTGAATTCATATACTTTTTCCTGCCCAAATCTAAGCTCCTTGGAATCTTGCCACTTGTGGGCATCAATGGGTGAAATAGAGTAAGTCCAGAAGACCACATGGATCTTCAATTGGATTTATTTGGGGTTCTAGACCGTGTAAATACTTGTCACGTAAACCGAATTTAGGTGCTTTTTTAGTGACTCTAGATTTTTGATTTTCAGGTCGGACTAAAAGATTGGAATCCTTTACCTTGCTGTGTTGTGCAGTAGTCTGACTGTGAAAAGAATGGAGGAGGGATGTGATTTTCGACCATGGGATGAACTGATACCTGATACACTTGGTTTAATATTCAGAAATCTCTCCCTTCTGGAGATACTTACTGTGGTTCCTGGAGTTTGCAAATCATGGAGGAAAGCAGTTATGGGGCCTTATTGTTGGCAAGAGATTGACATTGAGGAATGGAGCCAGCACTGTAGTCCTGAAAACATCGATCAAATGCTGCAGTTGCTCATCACGAGAAGCTGTGGTTCGTTTCGCAAACTATGTGTTTCTGGCATCTCCAATGATCTGAGCTTTGCATATATCGCTAACCAGTGAGTAACCAATCACTGTATTTATATTCTTGCATTTACAATACAATGTTCATCATTGAATGCCATCCAGTTTACCATGTTTCCAAACTTGATTCAGAAGGCAAAAATTTTCAGAGTGCAACTTATTTAGTCACCAGCAAAAATGTATTGTAGTTTCTTTTGGTTCTTCTGGAGCTGAGACATAGTTGACTGCATGTGAATCTCCAAAATGGGTTCAAGTAGTTAGACATTCTGAATTCTAATGTCCTGCTTAAATGTTTGTCTGTGCTCTGTCTTTTTCTTTTTGATCATATTAGTTTCTCAATCCTTTAAGAGAGTTCAAAACTAGCACTGGGTGTCAATTTGCAAGTGGTACTGAATTGCAAGAAGGTGAACATACTTGAACAATTGATACGTGTAATGAAGTCATAACTCGTTGTTTTGGAGTCTCAGAGATAAGCCATCATTAGTGGATGTGTAATTGTTACTCTCACATTATTCGCCCTATTGTTGTTCCCTTTTAGCCAAGGCAGACCATAGTTGTTAAAATTCACAAAAAGCTGCAGCTTTATATGAAGAATCAAGGTAGTATTTTAAGAATTGAAATATGAGTACTGAGCAAGAGCCCTTAAATCTTAGTTTTTTCAAAAAGCTTTTTTGTGTTGCACTATGATGTAGAAGGGCCTCTTGACATTTCTTTTTGTGTGGTTGCAAGTGCTAAATGTTTACAGACGCTGCGATTGCCAAGAAGTCAAATTAGCCACTCAATAGTGGAACAAGTTGCAGGGATGCTCTCGACTTTAACTTTTCTGGATTTGAGCTACTGCATAAAGATCGGAGCAGAAGCACTCGAAGCAATAGGAAAGAACTGCAAATTTCTCACAGGGTTACGTCGAATAATGCACCCACTAGAGGTGATTGACAAACTCTCCCAAGATGATGAAGCACTTGCCATTGCATCTACAATGCCCAAACTCAAGCATCTTGAGATTGCTTACCTGCTTGTAAGCACAAGCAGTGTGATTGAGATTCTTACAAACTGCAGACAGCTTGAACTATTGGATGTACGTGGGTGTTTCAATGTAAATCTTGATGAGAACTTTGTGAAGAAATTCCCAAGATTGAAGCTTGTTGGTCCCAATGTTGTAGATTATTATGATATGAATGGTTGGGATAGTTGCTCAGATTACTCTGGTTCTTCAGGCTACTTAGCCTGGGATTTTGTTGCTGGTATGGGCGATGATTATGACGAAATAAGTGATGGCTATTGGGGAGATGAGCAACAAATCGAGGACGTTGAAATGTGGTTTTACGATGATGTCGAGGCAATGGATGCTGGATATGACTGGCCCCAATCTCCTTGAAGTTGATATATGTCAGTTAACCGCGTGTAGAGTTTTTATGATTGTTTTTCTAGGTCATGGTACCAAAGTTTCTGCTTGTATTACTGCTTCTATGAAGTTTTTCTGCTTCCTTTAAGATGTAAATATAAGATGCGTGCCGCCTTCATATGATACTGCTGTTCTACAAAAAAACTTTCTATCACAGCAATAATACAATGGATCTTCTCTGCCTGACTTTTGGCCTCTTTCTGAGTTTCTTGGAGTTCAGCAAATGAAGAATCATTGGGCTTGTTTATCTTTGCTTCTCGATTTTGTGAAGCTGCTTAACAAAACTGGTTTTTGCAACTTACAGTTTCCTGCCAAACTCCTTAAGAAGAAAGGGGAAAGATGTAACCAGATAGCTACACGTAGAAGACTAAACAGCATGCTGAATCTGCAAGAAATCTGTCATATCTATGCTCACTGATTGTCTAGGCCAGTGGACCTTAAGTGAATGCATCGTGAAATATTGAGCATTGACTTCTTGTAAAGTATGTTTAATCTTCTCGAGTGAGAGGTTAGCTATCTTGTGCAAGATTAGACGTCTTTGAATTTAATGAAAGTAGGTTTGAGTTTCTTTCGGCAAAAGTCATTTGATTTGCACCAAATCAAAGTGATTAATAAAAATACCCACTAAAGACATCTCATTGATTTATAGTGATTTGATTGCTTTACAATGCTGAGATGCTTAAAAATGAAACTTCAGTGGAATGGACCCTCAAGATTAAAGAAAACACGGGATTATGTAGACTGGATGGTACTTTGAATAGAAGCATCTGTTTAAGGGAAAACTACAAAATCAAGAGAGGATGTCTATATGGTTAAGGGTATGTGATATATACTAAACGTGGTCTCCTGATTTGGGTGCATAGGAGGAGTTGGAGAAGAAGGACCCGGTAGAGATGTTCAATTTTCTCCATTAGAGGTCTTAATTCTTTAGTACATTCTCATCATCAAAAACCATTGTACCCAGCACAACCTTCCCATGTAGTAGAGCCAGTCAATATAAGTTGGTTCAATTGAAAAGAATATATTACTTTCTCGTAAAAGATCGTGTATTCAAATTCTGCTATCGATATGAGTGCCGTGTCGATGAACCATCCATAAGAACTTACATACGTAACCTATGATTTTGAAAACATGTCATGACCCGTAACGGTGATCGAAGTTGAGCTTATCCAAACTTTCTTTTATCAAAAGGAAAAAATCTAAGCAGGGCCAGATCTAACAAGCTTAGACACTTACCAAATCCAATTTCAATTTGAACTACCCACCACCCTCCTTGCCAAAAGGGGGGGGGGGGACCGAATCACCATGAATTATAAAAGATTGAATGGCAAATAGCTCAAGCTTATTCTAGAAGTGACAAGCTGGTTAAAAATTTCAACTTAATGATTCTACTTACCGCATCAACCTCTGATGGTGATTACATGCGACAGAAAAAGCATATCATTAACTTAGTCATCATGACAACATGGATGCACCAGGTTTGGTCGCTAATTGCTAATAGACTATAAATCTTCTAGAAATTTTTTTCAATTGTCTACATATTCGTATTGCCACTGATTTTGTACCCACCTGGTACCACATGAATATTGGAGGCTACAAGGGATGAGAATTATACCAAATCTAGATGATAGTCGACTAACCTAATCCATGGATTACATTCTCAGCTCTTCAAGAACCCACGTCACTTGACCCAAAAGGAAGAGAGAGAGAGAGAGAGAGAGAGAGAGAGAGAGAGAGAGTTTGTATGTCCATATGTAGATGGAACTTTATAAACTTGCATGTACAAACAGCCGATAGAACATTACAAGTCAAAGAAAAGATAAGGAACGTGGCTCCCTGCAGCGTTGGCCATGTCAAAAAGCCAAAATGGTAGGAGAAGATTCGAAACCTGTGATTCATTAGATCACAGGCTTCACAGCCGCATCACTATACAGGCTTGTTGCATGCATTTGGTCTCTCCTGGTCATTCTGGTGCTGAAAGATGCCTTTTGGATAAGTCCAAATAGCAGAACATGGATGATCAAGAGCAGGGTTCAGTCCCTTATGACCCCATCCATTATAGTTTTTAAATCAAGAAATATGTGAAGAAGCCACTGGATATACTTTAGTTAAATGATGATCACTGGCCTCATATACTATGAGCCCAGGGGAAAAAAGATTCCGGGAAAAAGATAGTGGAAACAGCAAATGTACCCAACTGAAAACAATACCAGCTTGAGCCAGAAACTCAATCAACCAACTACATTTGCTGTTTCCACTGTTCCAAGAGAGTCTTAAGGCTCTACATGGGCTTTGGGTCACCCCCTCCCCTACTCTAGAATAAGAGTAGATCTAAATTAGATTCTATCGTGTTCGGTCAAAAGAAAAAAAAAATAAAAGAACTAGAAACTCAATCAACCCTTTCTGTGCCAATAAACGGTTGTCATTTCTTGATGATGAATAAATAAAAATGAATCTGAGTTCAATAAACTACTTGTTTACCATGAAATAGACATATAATCTAGGCATTTCCATCAAATGAGAATTATTTGATGAAGAAAATTACGTCTGTCAGGTTGACGAGGCTTTAAATATGAAGTAGGGATAATTTCACAAACCTCCCCTAAGGTTTATGATAATTTCACTCGACTCCCCTCAAGTTTTACAAATTATACTAACCTCCCTCATCACAATAAAATGACTATAATAACCTTCACTTAATAAATAATTCACAATATAATGAAATGAGATTAAAAAGAAAAAGAAAAAGAAACCTAATCTCTTCGGTTATCCTATTTACAAGTTACAATTAACGGTGATTTTCTCTCACTTACTATCACTTCGTTCTCATCCATCAACCCCTTTATCTTATAACCCGCTCTCAAATTACTACCAACCCTTGTCTATAACTGCAACAAATCATACCACAAGTGATCCCTCAAACCGTACTATATATTCCTATTCCTCTTTTTTTTTCTTTAGAATTGCCAGGTCACAAGTTTAGTTGAGGGATTAGATTTGATGATTGAAGTAAAATTCAATTTCATGGTCAAACTAAAAGGAGATGAAGAGACACACAATAATAATGGAACAATTAATGCAATCATTGCCCAAAAGAGGAAGAGGGGCTAAAATTGGTAAATTTGTTAATTTGCCTATCATCCATTCAAAAAACTTTTTAAGATGTTAATAAGTACATCTATATATTTTTTATACTTGATAATTGTTGGTTGTGATTTTGTTATACAGATGGAGTTTTTTCTTTGTATTTAAGATGTTAACATGTGTTGGAGATTTGATGGTTAAAAAGATCATTTTGTTTTGAAAATACATGGACAGTGGGTTTGAAGTCTGGGGTGTGATTAGTTATAAATAAAATTTTAATTTTTTGGCAAAATGAATTTCTTGAAGATCTCTATAGTCATAATGATGCATTCCTTCTTTTAAACTTGATTAATCCCATCCATGCCTATGATAATGGAATTGGTTAGGTTTAGAATTTGGAATTAGATTATTTGCTAGGCTAGTTTGTTAGTATAGCGGGTTTTGTTGAAATATAGAAGAAAATAATTGGCAAAATAATTTTTATTTTATTTTTGTACAAAAAAGGTAGTTTAGGATTTTTGAGAAAAAAAAAAAAGCCTTTGGTATCTATATTATTGGGATAATTTCAGAAACCTCCCCTGAGGTTTCTGACAGTTTCACTCCCCTCCCCTGTGGTTTCTGAAATTCCACAAACCTCCCCTGTCAGATGGTGAGGTCCCATTTCTTACATCATTTGTGTCAAAAAGACTTAAATACCCTTACAATTTTGTTAATATTTTGTGATTATCTGAAAGCTATTAGTTAAGTTAGTTATAAACACAATTAATGTAATTAACCATAAATTAGAGTCCTAAAAACGAAAATAGAAAAGGGACCGTTGTGAAATGGCGCCAAACTTAGGCGCCATGCTCTTGATCTGATTGACATAACAGCTTGAAAGGCACGGTGCATATAGAAGCAAGAAACTTGGTCTGTTCCCGCCATTGTTGTGTTATAGCAATTGAGGTTGATGGTTGGCAAACAAACTTGTTGATTCTAACATTTGCTGAAGAAGAGTCTCTTTCTGGCAAACAAACTGCGTTACCAGGTAAGCGTTTAAGATTTCAGAGACTGTTTCAATATTCCTTGGTAGCTTACTTCTGATTTGGTTGTTGTTCGTATAAGCTTGATACATGTTTGCTTATGATTTTCTGGTTTGTCACGTGACTTGGTTTGCTAAGCCTCTACCAGTTGATGCTTGATTGCTTCTATATTTCTCGTCTGACTTGGATTGTTTGATATAGTTAGATGCCAAACCTTAGTAGCTTATGCTTTCTCTGTAACTTCAGCAACCAATGTTGCAAGATGGTTAATTTTGTAACTAATATTTTCTGTAACTTCAATAACTTCAGTAGGCTATGATTGTCTATTGTAGGATGGTTAACACTGATGTTCATGATATTGTGGTCCATTGTATGGGAAGAAAAGTAAGAGTGGCTAAGGTAAATCCCAAGAGTTACATGTATTCTGACTTACTAAATGATGTTGCTGAGAAGACATTGCAAGAAATGTCTGGAAATGTCAATCTACTGGTGCACATGAGATGCGAAATACCTGGTACAGCTGAGTACTTAGATGTGAATGATGACCAATCTGTTGCTGAAATGTTCAAGGTGCATCAATCTCATGTAGTCATTAATATACAAGTGTTGGAGATGGATATCATCCCTGCAGAACAGAGTGACAGCTTCCTAAACAGAAATGTAGTAAATGAGCATGAGAATTTAAGAACTGAAAAAACTGGTAGAGGCAAGAATATCGAAGTTCATGAATTAAATTGTGAGACTGAGGAGTACATTAGTGATTCTACTTCTGATGACTCATGGAATCAAGGTTGGGACAGTAACAATGAGGATAATTTAGGTGATGAGCATTGGTCTGTATCCCAAAGTGACAGTAGTGATGATGATTTTTCTGACTTTGATGACAAGGAAAATGAGGATATTGTACCTGATTCTGAATCTGAACATGAAATAGATCCCATGAGAGAAGCCTTAAGAGGCAAGATGTGGACTTACAACCGAAAAGAAGACATAGAGTTTAAGAAGGGACAGCTTTTCACAAATGTTGATGCTTTTAGAGCAGCATTAAAGGATTTTGTGATCCAAAAAGGTTTTCCCCTACAAAGATTGAA